AATTGGATGAGACTGTAATTGTATTTTCTAAACAGCGTCTTTACTGGAGGTTAGACCTGGCCATAGTTTTCCAACCTCATCTAGGTTTCTGTATTTGGATTTTATTTACATCATATTTTCTTCAATAAAAAGACGCTCAATAAGAAAAACATTTAAAAAAATGAAGAACTCTAATTAACATCCACTGGCTGCAGACCATAACCACTGATTAAAAGGTTAAAAAAGTCCATCAACTACGGGCTCTGACAGAGCAGTGACCTCCTCTTCACTGACCTCTAACCATCATCAGGAAGGAGCGCTTGACCCTGAGGTCAGCTGAATGACACAAAAAGAGAAGGAGTAAAAACAGGGTCGGGGCTAAAAAGCCATCTTCTCCACCATCTCTGATTGGGGAGCTGACAGATGACTCACTGTAGGAGCAAAACACCTTCTTTTACTCTCACACTTCAGAGCAGTGGAGGCAGCAGATGTTCAGAGCTCGTCCTAAACTACACAATGTTCAGAGCAATGTCCGGTCACAACAGGATTTAACTCTTCATTTTTTATGAAATGCGTCAAAAACCATCAAACTTTGAACTTGACATCTGTCAGTCGGTCATTCTTACCATGCAGTGCCGAGGACATCTGCAGGTCCATGCGGGTCTTCTGCTCAGCTGCACTGAGCTGCTGATGCTGCTGTGGTGAAGGTATGTCGACTGGTTTCTTTACTGAAGTGGAACCTGTAGATGTCGTCTCTCCCTGACACAGCTCAGTCTTAACAGCCTGGAAACACAGCTTATGACTGACCTCTGAAAGCAGAATAAACCAGATGAAGGTCAGTCATGACTGAACTGAACTACCAGACAGGAAGTCCACGTATGCCTGTCAATGAATTTGGTGTTGGGAAATACAGAAAAACTTTTTCACTCGCAGGCCACAATGGGTTCTAAAATTTGACAGGGGGGGTCGGTTGGGTCAGGAGCAGCGTTTAGATGCAGTGTTTGTCATAATTGCTAAAATGCTTCAAGCCTTTTCTACGCCATCTATTGGAGAAATGCAGGTATTGTAGGAAAAGGACAGAAGTATAATGATAATAGAAATTAATAACATAATTCAGACAAGTTTGACAGGCCGGATTAAAAAGCCAAATGGGATGCATCCAGCCCCAGGGTCATAGTTTATCCATGCCTTAGCTAGCATCAGGGGCCACACAGCTCTGCCTATGGTCAACGACCTATGGTCAGTTTTCTATGGTCAGCGTCCTACGGTCAGTGTCCTGTAGCTAGCGCCCTATGGCCCACGACCTATAGTCAGCGTCCTATGGTCAGCGACCTATAGTCAGCGTCCTATGGTTAGCGACCTATAGCTAGTGCCCTATGGTCAGCGTCCTACGGTCAGTGTCCTGTAGCTAGCGCCCTATGGCCCACGACCTATAGCTAGCGCCCTATGGTCAGCGACCTGTAGTCAGCATCCTGTGGTCAGCGACCTGTATGTTCTAACTTAATTAGTTTTTGATTATATGCTTCTGGATCTCATCCACTAACCCGGTTCCTCTCAGACTATGAAGTCCACTGCTGTGACTGCAGTGAATTGGTAGTGATTTAAAAACTACTTGGGATCCTTGGGTCACTCCATTGGCCAGAGGAGGCCGGTAACTGACCGTAAACAAGCTCCGACAGAACACAGTTAATGGGCCCCGTCTCTGTGTACCAGCCTGTATGAATGTGTGTTATGTAAGTCAGGAGCCGTGAATCAGCGACAGAGTGAGGTGTCGCTGGAACTGGGGCGTCCACAAAACCAACAAGTGCCTGTTTTGTGCCACGTTATTGGCTCCTGAGGAGAAATGAGCTCATTGTTGGTTCACGACCAAAGCCCGGCTGCATAGTTCTGTCGGAGATAACTTTGTCTGTCCAATCCCATCAGGATTCCCTTCAGACTGAGTGTGAATACTATGGCTACAACCTCATCAGTACAAACAGTATACTCTGCTGGCGACTGGAGTACACATAAATATCTATAGTCTGTTTTCTTTAGGATAAGAGACATCAATCAAAAACATTAAAATGGCTCTGTTAAAACCCTCATTCTGGTCAGGATAACTGTGAATCATGGACCTATGACTCTAAACTCCACAGCAGGAGAAAGTGTTCCTTATGGTATGGAGTATTTGTCAGTTCCACTTTTGTTCCCACTCCATTCAGTTCGAACTAATGTGGGGAATTTATTGTTTGTGTGCTGTTCCTGAGTTGAGACCATTTTACCAGAATTTATTGAAGCTATAGTATAAAATGAGCTTAACACTATTTGATGATTCTTTGTGTGATGAATACTTGCTTTGTCTTACATTTTGTTTTAGTTTTCAAATATTTATTTAAATCTTAAAACTGTGTCAAACTCAAGGCCCGAAGGCCAAATGTGGCCCACCAAGTCATTTTTTATGGCCCACAGGAGCTTCAAAAGCATTTAATAAATTCTTCACAGCAGAGTTTCTTAACCTGATAAATTAACACAGCACTGAACAATACAGTGATCCCTTGCTATAACGCGGTTTACTTTTCACGGTTTCGCTACTTCACGGATTTGCATCGTGCATTGTGTTCTGCATTCTGATTGGCTAAAAAGTCACTCCGCTTCTTCTCTACCTGTGCGCCAATAACGTTGCGGTTTAATATGTACACGTACGTAAAACAGCTTGCCAAATTGACATTACGTACGTGCAAATTCTCTTGCAATTTCGAGTTTATCAAACCCCACAATGTCGACAAAACGCTCTGGACCGGCAAAAGTACCTGCGGTAGGGACCAAAAGGCAGCGGAAGATGCTGTCTATCGGTGATAAAGTAAAACTATTGGACATGCTAAATGAAGGTAAAAGCTATGCGGCTGAGTCCCTATGTGTCAGTTTGTTCGTTCTTTCTCTTCTTTTTCTGAGTATTTAATTGTAAAAAAAAATAAAGATTTCTACTTCACGGATTTTGCCTATCACGGGTTCTTTTTGGAACGTAACCCCCGCGAAAAACAAGGGTTTACTGTAC